TTGAATTATGCAAATGTAGGTTTGTAAATATTAAAAAAATTAAATTTGCGTAGGTAAATTACAAAATGAATTTATCGTTCAAATTTTTATATAATAAATAATATAGAAATATTTTGAAATAATTAATTTATTGTTTAAAAAAATGCTGCTTGAATTTTTGATTAAATATGTGTACACATAAATATAAATATATTTGTAATATTATATATTGAAAACAGCTCACCAAATTCAATTGATTTCTACTGCACAAAAATTCATTCTTCACAAATCCTTACATTTCCGCAATTTCCTTATTCCTTATCACTACGCTATCTTTTCGCAGATGTCGTTGTCTAATATGTATAAACTCTCTTCATTATTGCATTTGTATTTGAAATTACCAACATTGTCTTCTATTTTAGTTAGTAGTTATTCTGCACAACTCATACCTACACATACGTATAAGCTATTACGCATGCGTACGTATCTAAAATGACGCGCAAGCCAGCTACATTTAAGTGCTGCTGCCGCCAACCGCTGCCACGCAAATTCTTTTCACCTCTGCAAACAATATTAAGGAAAACATCGGCCGAACTCTAACTTTTGTATAAACCGATTAAATAAAAACATTAGTTATATTCTAACAATAATTTACGTAATTAAATTCACAATTTTTTATTTGACAAGTTATCTTCACGACATTTGCAACAGATTATTGTCCAAGGCAATGCTACAATTTGCGAACATAAAATCAAGATAACGATACTCTTCTAACCTTGTTTACTATTAGAAATGCACCAGTGAAGGGAGTAACAGTGCAGTGGAATTAATAGTTTTTTTTTTTTTTGGTTTTTTGTTACTGAAAAATATTACAAATATATAAAAAATAGTATATTAACATGCTCGAGTGTACAAATACATTTCTATGTACATTTGTATATTTATACAGATTTAAAAGTGAATGACATTATAAATTTAATAGGCGACATGTGTGAGAGCGCAAACTATAATTGAAAACGTGAGTTATGCGGTGCAAATAAAACAAATGTTATTACAATATTTGAATGAAGTGGAAAAAATTACAAAAATAAACACATATTTGTACATAGATTTGTTACATATTTTTGTATATATAAAAAACATTCACTTTCAATCACAGTCAGTGGAAGATTGTTAATATACTGTCTTTTCATATAAGTATATTATCAGATTTTATAAATATGTACATACATGAATACATATATGCACATATATAGTTCATATATTCAGTCACGAATTCCGAAATACAACAACCCAGAATTTTGTGCGACTATTCACTGAAAAAAAGAAATAATTGCCATGGCTGAGTTTGCATTTAAATATGCTTTTGAGCGAGTGCAAACAATAGAAACAGGTTCATTATTGGAAACATATGCATAACAGGTATGTTTGCAAATATATGTATATAACAATGCTTTTAAGCAACGCCAACGCATGGTATGCATATGCTTGCATGTGTATGTTTGTAGAACTCTATAAAAGCTATGCAAATTTGTATGCAATGCGCATATATTTTACTGTCGCCATCGGCAGCGTTACTAAAAAGCGGATGGGTGGTGTCGCAGCTGAACTGTTTAATCAGTTTTTTGTATATGTGTGTATGTGCACGCATTTTTATATCGTATGTGGGTAGTTATATATATTTTATAATTTTTATTTTATAATTTATTAATAGTTTTTGGTGAGACATCTTGCTTTATATATAGCTAAAATTCCTTGTTAATTCAACACAACTCAAAGTAAGCTTGCGTGCGCATAACAAGCTCAACTCTTGCGCTACTGTGTACATATGTACTTGTACTATGTACATTCGAATATGTATGGCTGATAAGCGTGCGAACATTGCGCAAAACGCGTGCGTGAATGAAATTAACGAAGTTTAGCCTAAAAGCCAATAAACCTTTCATTCAATACTGTATTATTTATATGCTTAGGTATACACATATATATATATTATTTATTGACCAATATTTTGTGTAGCAATTGCTAGACTTGTAGGTCATGCAAGCCCTTTCACTACATTTTAAAGCTGTTAAAGCAGTATTTTCACACACGCACAAGCATAAATATCAATAAACGCATAATTTTTTACAAACTTTTATAGTTAGTCGCTGTTAAGTATTAACAGCAAATTGTTTGGCATAACGATATTCCACTAACACACGCACCAAGTCTAACGTCAAGTTTTTATTGGCCGTTAGATTGGTAAATACCAATATTGGCTAACGGAAAAATGCAGCTTTTTATAGTTAGGGTTTGAAAGTCTATATATCGTTGCTTTGGACAATAACTCTTGCAAAACTTCGTGAATTTATTTTGTCAGATAAAAAAGTTTTCCAAACAAGAACTTGATTTTGATCGTTGCGTTTGTATGGCAGCTATATACTATGTTGGTCCGGTCAAAAAGATTGTATGGAGATTGTAGCGTTGCATTGAATAACACTTTAGATCAAAATTCTTTAAGGTATTTCGTCAAATAAAAAATATTTCCGTACAAGAACCTGATTTTCCATTTAATTTAGTTGTTTTAGGTTATATATTTGAAATGACACTGAAACACAATCCCTTATATATATTAAAATAGAACTATTGCATTTTCGTTGCACATTACTGTACTTTCATAAACTATCAATTATACACGACCACCTGTCGCTACTAAAAGAGACTCAAATAATTTTTGTAGATTTATTAAACGTAAAGCAACATCTGTTGCAGCATTGACGTATAAAATTTCACATATATTAATTTATTTTACTACATCGAATATATAGAATAAAATTTATTCACAACAATTACTCCGCTTCATTTAATATACTCGTATAAGAGTCGTTGCATACGCGGCGTATACGCAATATTCCAATACAAATTAATTGTGTTTAATTTTTTCTGCACTATTTAATATTCAAGTCAGCAATTTAGCGAACTAAAACATTGTCAATTTAGTGTGATATGAAAAATTGATATACAAATATAGTTATAAATGATTGATGTATTAAAATTAAACACTAATATGCTAGACATTAAGTCTGTGCTTCGATAACGGTACATTTCGTGCTTAATGTGTTGGGAAATTTAATTTTGCTATTTATTTTAACATTAAATTTTATTTATTTTAATATTTGCCGAGCAGAATGTGTATGACGCTTAAGTTTATGAGAAAATTTAATTATATTTCGTATATTCTACACGTGATACTTAATTGTAACTGTATTTGCGTCACTTTACAGCCTTAAAAACCGGATTGCATATTTTGCAAATAAGGTTATTTTTAAAAATCAAACAAGAAAAAACGAAATTACGACTACACCAAAGCTATAATACTCTTCAACGGTTATACGATTAAACGTATAAGAAAATCTTTATATTGATTTTGGTCGCTCAGTTTGTATGGCAGCTGTATGCTATAGTAATATCTAAAATATATATGTGCTAAATTTCGTGAAGATACCTCGTCAAATAAAAAGGTTTTTCATACAAGGACTTGTATCATATTGTATATACAAATTTTATAGATTTCCGCCTCTATTCAAGGTATACAAATAAATAAAAACCGATAAACAACACTTTCTTGCATATAACATTATTTTTTATGATGTCATGAAATCTATCTAATTACTAACTAAACAATGAGCTGGTGTCAGACAAATATTTTGCAATCGAACTAATAAATATTTTTCGACAAATCGCATAGTTAGTTGCATAATTAACCAAAGCAAATATTATGGCGTTTAAGCGCGTACGTAAACGCCTTAACCAGAAGCATATGTATGTTGTTGCTAATGAACAGCGAAACTTCAATCTAGAAACAAATGTGCATTTAAATTGGAATACTTGAAGTGAGTGGAACTAGGCAATGTATTTTCGAAGGTTAGCGTCATAAACAAAATATAAAGAAGGTATATACCAAAATCTTAGGGACGTAATTGTTAACACTTAATGAGTATACTGACGCACTGCCAATTAAAAGTATAAAACCTTTTCGCAATCAACCCATTAGACCTTGTACAATATCGAAGTAATTAACTGATTTTTGTAAAAATTGTAGAGAATGGAGAATTCTAGCTTTGGGGTCCAGACTTTTTTTTAAATAAATGTAAAGATATTTTGTCTAGTAAAATTATAATTTTTAAGTGCCACATAGCCGTTTAGATGAGTTTGGGATTCAGTCCAGGGAGAAGCAGATAGATTTATAAACACTTACAAGTCAGAAAAATAACGCCATTTTTTGTTATTTTTTAAGAGACATTATATTCAATAAATACATAAATATAATATGTTATTACAGAATTTCATGTACTTTAATAATCAGTGATTTATTTTGGATTTCTGTGTTTCCGTAGCAGATCTACCATCGAAAAAAGGTGGCTGGCGTTGAGCCAGATTTTGATCGAAAGACTTGACAAAATAGCGGCTTAGAAAAAAAGTAGTTTTCTTGTGAAAAAAAATGTATACTTCAGAGTGGATTAAAAAAAGTTATTATCGAATTTCTTAATCCTTCATCTTTATCTGATAAGTATATCTAAAATGGTCGTGTGAAAATTTTTAGTCGATCGATCTCGACGTTTTGTAGAAATTTTCCTCAGCGGCACTAAAAACAGCGTTTCGAGAAAAACGCGTTTAGTGTTTTTTACACTAAGTTAAAGAATGTTATAAATACGCTCATGTCTTCAAAACAATTTGAAAGGTCTAATTCAAAATTTCGCTGGATGTTCTAAAATATATGTAGCATACATTCAATATACAACCAAGGGAATCGATCTTTTTTTATTCAGAAGTGGCTATAACCTCTTAAATAAACTGCACAAAAATCCTTGTATACTATTTCTTCAAAATGAACCAACCAATAATTAAAATATCAATACATTTTATCGAGGCTTTTGATTTACAAAACGGATTTTGAAAATTAATATACGCTCTTAAATATAAAACTCTCTCCTTGCATATAATTTTTCTTATTAGCATATTGATTTCTGCACTTCCAGGGTCTCGAGCATTTGATGTACAATCTAGGCTTGGGACAAATCGAATTCGAGCCAGAGCATACAATTGACGAACATCGTCCGAAGGGTTTTAAAATAGATAATGCACAATTGGCTGCTTATTTTGAGCAGAAAAGTTATAAAATCGAACCCACCAACGAAGATATGCAAGTATTAATGCAAGACAATTCTCAAGGGAAGGTGGCCGATGAATTGGACATACTAATTAAGGAGAAGGAAAAAGGCATTTTATTGGAGTTCAAAGAGATGCACGATCCAAAGCATAGACATCCGCGTGATAGTGGTAAGTAAAGTGACATAATAAAAGCCAATATATATTTCTTGATAATATTTTCCTGTAGCAGTGATTCCGTAACTTGTTGTATTCTGGTAGTGAAATTACAATTTCAATAAAGACCCAAGCATAGTTTTCAAATCAATCATAGTCATTTAAAAAGTCTCGATTCATTTCCATTATTCACTTTTATTTCCTGAATAACTTGGCATGAAGTTTGTAACACCCAGCACGAAACGTCGGAGACCCTATAAAAACTCTATACAAAACTCTACACTTGTATAAATGATAAGCGTCGCGAGCAGAGTCGATTTAGCCATGTCCGTCGGTTAGTCCGCCTGTATATACGCGAACTAGCCTCTCAATTTTTGGAATAACGATTTGGAATTCAGTTTCGGTGCAGCCGAAGTTAACGTTCCTTCGTGTTTTTAATATCTTTCGAGATAACCGTAGGCCAGCAAATATTATTTCATCCAATCCTACCAAATTATGTTTCATCCGTGTCTCATTTAAAAAATTACGTGCAATTATTTATGTTAAGGTTGCCAACCTTTGCAAAAATTACCTCAAAACATTGAATAAACACTTTCCTCAATCAATTCAACGCTTTATATTTACTATAATCAGTTTGACCTCCACTTTGTCGGCAGATCTGAGTATGAAGTAATAATGAGCCTATCAACGGTGAACGAATTTGGCTACACACACATTCCAACAAAGGCAACTGTCAGCAGCAATTGAAATGTCAATTTAGTCTCAGGATGTACATATTTACATATTGTGGTGTGCATAATGAGGCGCTTGGCGCAATTCTTTAAGTATCTACCGGCAACTCTTTATTGCGCGAACTAAGTAATTTATTTAATTGGCATTATGCGCAATTTGATGTCAATGTTACTTTTACTTTTCGGTGAATGCAAAATGAAAGTTAGAAGACTTTAAATGATTGCAAACAATACCGCATGAAGGTTACTTGCCGGATACAAGGGTACGAATTAAAGTTCTTGGAAGGAAATTGCAAGCCAAGATATATTGCAGTATGATTGTTGGTTTAAAAGATAATAGCTCGAAAGAAATATGGAAAAGAATCAAAAAGTTAAAATAAAGTTTCTCTTCCAGGCAAAGCATGTCTGCTCAAATAATTTCAGTGGGGATCCATTCGTTTTTTCGAAAATTTTTAAAAAACATTTTAAAAATCAATTCTATGTAATTCGAATTCGAAATATATAATATTAAAAAAGCTTAAAACAACTCAAGGCGGCATTGTCAAAAATAGCTGAATTGCCCAAAATTTTGTTTTTTGTGACCTGCCACAATTAATTTTTTGTTCAGATCTAAAAACAGATATTTGAAAAAAAAAATATATTTTTTTAAATTTTATTTATATATTGCGACATATAAAACATATATATATGTAAATGATCAGCATGACGAGCTAAGTCGATTTAGCCATGTCCGTTTGCAGTTTTATCTCTAATCTATCTTTAAGAATCCGACTTTTAGGTAATTTGTTTGATATCGATAATAAATACAATCGATAAAAAACATCTAGCATATAAAGGTATATATCAAAAAATATTATATTTCAATTATTAAGAATGACAGATTTCTCGAAATTAGTGAAGAATCTATGCAGGTCTGTTAAAATGTTAAAAGTAGGCGTGGCACTTTTCACTCGCAGCTAAATTATCTTGAGATTGCAACTATAAAAATTTGTGCCATGTGGAATACACTTGAGAACCACTTAGAAAACTCATGCAATTCAACATTATTATATGCACATAATTTGTTACAAGCACTTTGCATTTATTCTTTATTCGTGATCTCGTATATTTATATAATATTATATGTATGTTACTTTGTAAAATTTTGACAATAACAAACGATTAGCCTTCACAAAACAAAAGTTATTATAATGATAATACAAAAGCGTAACGCTTCGTAGCGCTAATTATTATAGTGTAGACGCAACATTGAAGCTATCTCAATGTCATTATCATTATTAGTTTGCAATGCTGCTGTCTAAATAGATACTCACACGAGGTAGCGGCAATGGTGATGAATGTTTTGCCGAAATAATACTGCATTTGCTTTTATTATCAGGTTTTGATGTATATATTTTTATAGTTTTTTCTCATTTGAAGTAGATAAGACTATAGGCGAACTACTAGTCACGTTTTTGCATATTAATTTCAAATAATGTATAATAAGCACAGTTATTATCAAACCTATAAAGGTAAAATCGAGATTTTGGCTTAAAAGTCGAATACTCTCACAAAATAGGAGAAATTATTGTTTTCTAATGTTTTTTCGCCAAAGCCAGTTTCAAGGCATTGCCAGCGAGTTATCAATCCTTAGTTATATTTTTTCTTTCGAGTTCAGTTTTATCAGTTTCGCATCTCAGATACTTCAAGAGTTGATTCAATCTTTATTCATAGAAAGATTTCGCATTGCTTCTCGTCAATCTTAGCGCCTTCATGAATTTCGGGAATTTCGGAACGCGCTTTTAATGCTTTGAATGGATCGAGGTTGATAACTGCAACTAAAGCAAGCTCTAGTGTCCGAAATTTATGTTTCTTTAACTATCTACTAGTGTCTCTGGTTTGTAAATAAATGAAATGGAAAAATTGTATATGTTTCACAATTGCCGACTGCATACCTTGGCGAGTTTTAATTTTAGTTTCCAACTCTCTAGGACAATTTTCTTATCCATATTCTCTATCAAATTCAAGTAGGTATTAACCTATATTCTCAAGTACTTCTCATAGAAAGCGACAGCGGCATCGCACAGCAATTAATAAGTTGGAGAAGCGAAATTTTTCTTTGGTTGCACTCATCGCGCCGGCAACTTTCTCATCCAAAATATTTCAAGACGGGTATTGTTCATGCGACCTTTCAGAACTTTTGACTTTAGACTTTTGTCCCGCTATCCTTAATTTTCTGCACACCAGGGACTAACTCATCAACCGACCGTGTCAAAACTCGAAATATCACTGTATGTTATGTACGTATAGAATTCACTCTTTGGCTTTCTCTTCCAAAAATAAGCAACGACTGATATGGTTGTCTTCCCTTTTTTAATGCGGCTGTTTCTATACTCGGTAAAATTAAAACTACGACTCGGATTTTGCTGAAATTTCATAATTATCGAACCGCCCTCGTATATATTAGTCAAAATTGCTTCTATAACCAATAAACACATCGCTTGTGTTTTTTACAACCTATCTGGGGATATCATATAAGTAACTCTATATTCATATAAATATTTCTATGTGAATTTGCAGATAATCGTTTTCTTTGCAAAATCTTATCTTTATAGCTTAGATGTGCATTCATGCATATCTATATACTAAGTCCTTAAAATGTGCAAGTTGAAGGTGAAACTGCTTTACACGTTTGTAGTAGATTAAAATTTCACAGTTAAAGAAACATATGTACATACAATTAAACAAATGCTAAGTAGTTGTTTTTGTGCTAATCTGGCTTTTTTAGATTATTTGTATTTACGCTGATTTAAATGCTAAACAAACAAGTAAACAACAAAAAATACAAAAATATCAATTTATTTAAAAGCTAAACCCTTTTAGTACAGAAAATTTAATACGCTTTAGAAAAACAAGAAATTTCTGTACATTTTAAGCGGGAACAAGCAAACAACGACGCAGACGAACTGGTAACTTCTTGTGAAGGGTCAACACTGGCAGATACGCGTAAGGCTGACAAAAATGCAAATCTTGACAAAATAAAATAACATGAAAAACGTTACTTTCGGCTGCACCGAAACTATAATACCACTCACAAATAAAAAAAACAAAAGCAGTTTATATGGCAGCTATATGCTCTATTATATCGATCTGAACAATTTGTACTGTTGCCTTGGACAATAGTACATGCCAATTTCGGAAGGATATCTTGTTAAATAAAAAGTTTTCCATACTAGAATTTTATTTTGATCGTTCAGTTTGTATGACAGCTATATGCTATACTTGCAGTGGTGTGATTTCGACGGTTCTGACAAATGAGCTGCTTCTTGAAGAGAAAACTACTTCAGCCATAAACAATATATAATATAATAATAATAATATAAACACTGTACAGGGTATAACTAAGTAAATAAACAAAACAAATACAATGCAAAGTCCAAATATGCGATTGCACACAAATACAGTTACTCATACGACGTGTACGGCATACTAAACGAGCGCTATGTATTCAATACAGAAACCCATTGCACCAAAACCCTCAATGTAAGTGGCACAAAAACTCACACACACATACACACATGAACACACAAAAGAATGTGGAAAATGTAAATAATAAATTCCACTTTGCAAACAAGTAAACAAAATTTATAAATTTTATTTGCATATTACATATAATATGTAACCGTATATATATACATATATATAATATATCGTACAATAACACACAAACAGCAGTGAAGAAGAAAGTTGTAAAAAACTGTAAAATCTTAAAGAAAGACATAATCAATGCAATAGGTGCAAACAAAAACGCTTAACATTGCAACAATGACTTTAGTCGCTGGTAATCGCTTTGATTTATGAAGCTTTAAAGCCTGTAACCTCATTCACGTTTTTATTAAATTTTATAAAGCAACGGTAAGTGCTTAAAGACGACTTTTTAGCTTATGTCAACTTTTGTAGATTTATTTTTTACGTTTGTGATGCTGTCTTAACTTTCTTCCGTGAAATTTGCATTTTCTTTACAATAAATGAAGAAAGTATACAAATTATAAAAAAATACTCTACGAAAATGTTCAATATAAAGCTTGTGCCATGCTGTTTTTTTGTTAATTACATCTACTTAAAGTCACCTCACCTCTTATTTGCTATACAATAAAGCTGTTAAGAGTTCGTTGAGCTAAAAGTTCTTTAAATCACGTGTTTCATGTTACTATGTTAAGTGCATCTCGATTCCCAGCATAGCGGCGCGTGTTAAATTGTCACTTTGTATGTAAATAAATAATTGTTTCTATTATTGTTGTTGGCATTTTGTCATTATGCCGGAATACCTGCATGCGTAGACGTAAACTTAATGGCATAACGCCGACAATTATGGGCTAACGCCATATTTAATGTGTCTCAAGGCGCTCGGGTCTGGCTGGCTGACAGTCGTTGAATAATTAGAAAATAATTTTGACGCTAAATGTGCGATAATGTTAATTCTAATTGTGTTGACGTTGTTGCTGAGTTTTTGTTTTTGTAATTTTATTCTATCATATAGCAAGATCGTTCATCGTCAGCTGCGCCGCTCTGTATTGCGTATAACTTTTTTATGGTGTTGACTGTGGGCTTTGCATACGTACTTTAGATTACTTCACAGCTCTTCTTTTTGATTTATATAGGTTTTGTAGGTTATAATCCGCTTGAAAATGCTTCCGCGTTATGCACATATTTGTGGAAGTTCACTTAAAATATAAATATAAATATAAATATCAAATACAACATTTTCATCTGACAATTTCCAAGAACTGAAGATTACAACTTTGATTATCAGCTAAATAGATTCTATACATCTCCTATCAGCTTATAAGGATAAGTCTAGACTAAATATACTGCGTTCGTCGTCGGTTTCTTTTGAATGTATGTATTTGGTACATCTACCACATCTCTTCTTGGTGTTTTGATTTTTCTAGATTTGCTATAATCCGCATAAAATATTGTGCTTAAAGCTTACCAAAAGTTGGTCCAGCTTCTTTTAGCACTTACACTAAACAATGTCCTCACAATTTTTTTATGTCAGAAGTAGTACACTCAAAAATTCTCGAGTCACCGCAGTGAGGTCGATGATTATTAAAAATAACTCTTAAAAGAAATTCGGTGTACTTAGTAGTCAGATTGCGCAATTAAAAAAATTCACCGAACAATCGCGGGTAATATGTACGAAAGCCTAGAAATTATTCAAGTTCTATTATTGCGATATCTTTCGGATGTAACAACTGCTCAACTTACTCCTCACACTAAAAACAGCAAGCTTTCTAAGCTTTCTTTGACTTTAAAGCTTCATAAAAAGCTCACATAACTGCTCGACAGTTCTCTGGAATATACAATATTATATCTATTATATTTCTAAGTTCTGCTATTAGCTGAGAAGACCTATGGAATTTCTAAGCTGATTTGTGCTGGCAAGCTTTCGCAATTGATCTAGCAGCTGAATGCGCTTTTCACTCTCAAAAGCTTTGATCCTTTCGTACTGTGACTTCGGCAAAATTTTAGTTTTTTTTTTTAAAGTTGAACTAAAAGCTTTATTTTCGTACTATTCGTCGAAATAACTCTTCTTATATTTTGCTTTCAGATGCTTCTTTGGACGCTGCGCCAATCTCAGCTAATGTTTGCCTCTCGCCAAAGTCCATGCTACGTCTAGTCGTCGACCATAATGATCTACACAAACGCAAACTCTACAAGACTTACACTTCGGATGATGTCACGAAAGCGCACAACTCCGAGGATGAATACAATGAGTTCATCAATGATGTACAGTTAACACCGGTGGCGTTCATGAAACTCTGTCCAGCGTTGTTGGCGCAAATTGATCAGCATGTCTGCATGCGACCAGCGCCACTCACTAACGGCGTGGATCCCAAGCAGGCGCTGTGGAATGGTGAGTTCTCATACAACTCTTGTATATATAATCGCACTCTTAACACTTATATATCACAATATTTTTCTACCCGACAGCTTGGATATATGCCAGCGTTTCGATATTCATACTCTCCGCTTGCGGACTGCTAGGCATTTTGCTGGTGCCGCTCATGAAAACCGTCGCGTATCAAGAGATTTTGAAATTCCTCGTTGCCGTCGCCATCGGTACGCTAGCCGGTGATGCATTAATGCATTTACTGCCACATGCGCTGGTGCCCGATCATGATGATCACGATGAGCATGCGGTAGAAACCGCTGAGTCGGCGCATGATACACATGAAGCAGTTTGGATCTGCGCCTGTGCTTTCTTCACTTGTATCTTCATGTACGTTTTGGAGCATATATTACCGTTATTGAGAGGTGACAGCGCCGGCGGACATGGACACGCGCATGGACATGGTCACTCACATGGCGGTCACGCGCATAAGCACGAACAAACGCATGCGCACCACACAGAGCACGGGCATCACGCAGAGTATGCGCACCAAGGAGAGCAAGCGACGACAGAGAAACCAACTGACAATGCGCTCAACGCCAACATTGTAGCGTCGATCAACAACGATGCGAAAGAGATCAATATCATGTTGAATGAAACGAAAAAGGATGCGAAAACGCCGAATCGTCCACTCACGCCCGTAGCCTTCATGGTCGTCATCGGCGATGGCCTGCACAATCTCACCGATGGCCTAGCCATAGGCGCCGCTTTTGCCAGCGATCCAGTAACGGGCATGGCCACCGCCTTCGCCGTACTCTGCCACGAGCTGCCACATGAATTGGGTGATTTCGCGCTTTTGCTACAGACGGGCGTTTCCTTGCGGCGCGCCGTCTACTTGAATATTGTCAGTTCGGTGTTGAGTTTTTTGGGCATGGCTATCGGTTTGTTTATAGCCGGCGCGCACGGCAATATGACACAATGGATTTACGCCTGCACAGCCGGTTCGTTTCTCTATATTGCGCTCGCGGATCTGGTGCCGGCGATGAGCGAAGTTGAAGCGCATGCGCATGATGCGAAGAGCAAACTGAAGGGTACATTAATACAGATATTTGGCATGCTGTTGGGTGGTTTTATTATGTTGGCCATCGCTGTGAATGAGCATGCGCTATCGACGCTTTTTAAATGAAAAAGCAACAACAACAAAATGCAAGCGGCAATAATTGGTAATGCGCTTCTCAGTTCTGTAAATTGAGTGCGCAAATGTGAGTTATGAAAAAAACGCATTCCTACACTACATTTTAGAATTTTTTTTATTACAATAATTATGTATAAGTTTGTATGTTTTATGGTTTTTAAGTTTAAAAGTATTATTAAATGTATTGTAGGTATACAAATTAAGTGTTATAAACGATTTATAAATTACAATAAAATTTTAAATAAATTAAAAATCTCGATTAAATAAAATGTTTGAATTGATCGGAAAATATAGGCATACTTTTAGGCGCATGTGTGCTAATAGCAGAGAATGTTGATGAATATAAAGAATTAAAATTTGCTCCTTCTCTATTCATCAACATTCTCTGATCATACCCACTTTAAAGAAATTTTGCATCTACCAGATATTCTTCGTTTCGTTAAATAAAAAATAAAACAATATTTTAATTTAATTATTTATTACAATTAAAGTAAAACAAAAACCTTTTTTAACTAATCAATGCAATTCATGATATTCATGCTATCTGTTGGTGTGTTTCTTCAAAAGGCTCATTAGGCAAACGGGCAGGGTTCTAAAAAAAAAAGAAAACAAAAAAACATACTGACAATTTCCAAGAATTATAATAAACATTTTATTTATTTACCAATTTCTTAGCGCGTTCTTCCAGCGTGCCATACGATACATGATCCAAGGTAAAGCCAGCTGGCAAGCCAACACCTTGTACACGATACAAAGCATCTTTTTCACCCTCATTAGCAATCTTATGTGCTGCGGCTACCGTACATTTGCCAAGGAAACGTGATGAGGCCACCATTGGACCACGTGATATATCTATATGTGTGCCCATGCGATAAAGCGTGACACGTCCTTGATTCTGCTGTGCAATGCTGGGCAACTGCTCTCGCTTATAACGCGAATCGGCAAACATTTCCAGTGCCAGCTCGCTATTTACATCAAGACGTTCGATTTTCAAATCTTTTGCGGCTAATTTAATCATCGCTGCAGACAGAGCACGCATTTCAGCTTTGCTGGGTTGCCACGATTGCGCTTGCAGCACTATGTCGTAAACAAAACTGCCTGATTTGACTGAAATATGATGAATAATATATTAATATTTTGTTTATAATATGACTGCCATATAATTCTTACTATTTGGTCCGGGGAAACTATGTAATTGCAAATGTGCTTCATCAGAAAAGCTCTTTTCGAGTGCTGCACCCAACATGAAGCTGCATGTGCGCCAGAATGATCTGTAAAAAATTGCATAGAAAGTTATTGTGATTAATAAATGTGTGACTTGTTAACTATTTACTCTTTAATTTGTTAGTACACATCCAATGTAAAATAACACTACAAATTTATTAACTTACTTATATACTTGTACAATAATAACTTACTTATTTATTAAATGTGGATCAGCTACTGTAAAGTTAAGCAACTGTAATGTACAAGATTCTGTTAGCGGCCGGTGCATATCCCATGGTACATTTCCATCTTTTAATGCTAATGCGGAGCGTTTGCAATGCCCATCACTTAAATGCTGCGCGCAATTGTAAGGTGTAGATATGTAGGCGTTCATAGCTAGCGTGACATCCTCGGGTAAACCCAAATAACGCACTTCAATTTTTTCTACTCTACCAACAGCTTCCTTTTGCCGGCGTTGCTCTTCCGTGAACAATTCATTACGTTTAGCTATTGCAGGATTGAGTATTTCTTTATGTGTAGAGTAAGTACCTAGAATTGAGCAACTAAATTATAGCATTGCTTTTTAAAAAATTAAAGTGTAATCATTAGAAAATATCCTAAAAGAGTTGATCACTTTTTAGATAACACTAATAGCATTAATAAACTCACGTATATTTGACAACCGATTAAAGCGATGCAATGTATTTAATACTGCTTGAAAGAGCATTTTATTGCCGGCCATTTCTAGAAAATTCAATATTATTTTCTTTTAACTTTAGAAGTTAATTTTCTATATTTTTTTTCAAGCGACAGCAAAATTGTTATCAAATCACAAAATTTATTTAACAGCTGGTGCCAACGTGCTTGGATATTGCCACTTAGTTAAAACAAAAAAGACTACAGTAGATTCAGATATATTTTACATAGTAACAACCTCTGAAAATATAGTTATAGCAGTTTACAAAAATATGCAACCAAAGACACAATACAGATTTAAAATGATAAATTATATATAATACATTTCTGATATTATAATATATAATATTAATTTACTGCTCGCTATCGAACCAAAATAGTCTTTCATTGTGACTGCCTTCGCTGTTTATTGTCAATAGCAGCTTCAAAATAGAAGAAGCATCGGTACGGTTGTCACAATTTTGTTGGTCATCTTTATTCGTTAAACCATTTATTGTAATTCTGTACAGATATTTTCCTCAAATCATTGTGAGTTTGATTTAATAAAACGCCTACAAAATGAACATGGAACTTGTGCGCAATGTGCCAAAAGGTGGCTTTAATTTTGACAACTGCAAAAGGTAAATTATTTTTATTTGCGTTGAACGCTGCACTGCTTATACTTTCCTTAACAGAAATGAAATGCTGCTTGGCTCCGGTTTCCAACATCCAAAGACTGTAAAAACGGGCACCACAATTGCAGGTATTATATTCAAGGATGGCGTAATATTAGGAGCAGATACACGTGCCACCGAGGGACCAATTGTGTCTGATAAAAATTGTTCTAAAATTCACTATCTGGCTAAAAATATGTAGTAAGTGGAATTATAACAAGTGCTTGTTTTAGCATTTGTATATATTTATAAATGTTTAATATAAATCCATCACATTTGTAGCTGCTGTGGTGCCGGTACTGCTGCCGACACAGAAATGACTACCGATCTAATTGCATCACAATTGGAAATGCACCGTTTAAATACGGGTCGTCAAGTACCAGTTGTAGCAGCCAACACATTATTGAAGCAATTTCTATTTCGCTATCAGGGTCACATTAGCGCTGCCTTAGTGCTTGGCGGTGTTGACAAGACTGGCTCATATATATATTGTATACATCCACATGGTTCCACCGATAAGTTGCCATATGCCACAATGGGTTCGGGCAGTTTGGCGGCAATGTCTGTGTTTGAGTCACGTTGGAAGCCCGACATGACCGAAGAAGAGGGCAAATTACTTGTGCGCGATGCTATTGCGGCTGGTGTCTTCAATGATTTAGGTTCTGGTTCTAACATCGATTTATGCGTTATACGCAAGGATTCGGTCGATTATTTGCGCAACTATGAACTAGCCAACTTGAAAGGCAAAAGACATGTAAGCTGTTTTGAATTATGCATAGTTGAAGGAGGAGTTTATTTAAATATTGTTTGATTTAATACAGGGTGATTACCGTTTTAAACCTGGCACAACTGAGCTAGTCGGCACCGAAGAAATAATCGAAGTTATACCCTTTGAAGCTTTCCACAAAAAGCTGTATGGGGATGAAACAGGTGAAGCTATGGAAGTTGGTGCTTAACTTAAGTCACAGAATGCATGTGAAAACATACGAAAATTAATTAAAACTTGATTTTTGCAAATAAAATAGTTTTTAAAGAATTATTCGTGATTTAACTTTTTTGCAAGAAAATATATTGTATTATATATACATATACCCTTGATATATATAATTTTTGGAGGCGAATCGAACAAACAGCTGGCGTAAATCAAAAACACAAAATTTCATAAAATAAACTGTATTTCGAAATTATAAAATTTTTTTTTGATAATATAATCATACTTAGGTATATACATATATACATAAATATGTAAATACATTTTTTTTATAGATATATTTATGTGAATAAATGTTCGATCTTACATTTCTACATAGGTAGGCATTGTCATGACGCCGCAATTATTTTTCCTTGCCGACATCAAAATATAACCATCATTACCCCAGTAGGTTGACCACGAATTCTTTACCAACCAATAATCCTCACCTTGTATGGTGCCATAACCAACAGCCAATACGGCATGATCTAACTCGTCTAAACCATTCTTACATTCTGGCTCATAGTAGACACCATGCGAATAGAAACTAAACGAACGTGGTGATGCATCAATGGCTACCGAAAGTGGTCCATGCTTGAGCAGGGCAATTTTGAAAGCGTTCGGATCGCCTGAAGTCACATTAACGAAGCCGGTGATCGGTGCGACGAGTGTCAGATTTCTTGCGTGACAATAACCATCTTGACCCAAATAGGGACCGTATGCCTCTTCAGTTGGTACACCGCCCATTTTCATCATCCATTGATAAGCGCGGAAGTCTTCGCCACCATCACAACCATTGTTGCCATATTGCCAAGAACAATCGATGAGCGCCTGCTGCGAGAGTCGCACAAGATTTCCGCCATTTTTCAAAAAATATGCACCTTCGATGTGACCAATGGTGCCGAAGGACCAGCACGAGCCGCAAACGGATTGATCTAAAGACGAATGATGGTTATATTTCAATCAAGATTTTCTTACTTAGAAATAGTGTTGAAATTTTATAATACTCTGAGAGCTTTTTACATCAAAAGCTCCAAGCTTTCAAACATAATATTCTGAGAGTTTTAACCATAAAAAGCTCTAAAATTTTAAACGCTTTCTTGAGCTCAAAGCTTCTTTAGAGTACGTTGAGTTAAAAATTGATATTATTCTGAAAGCTTTTAACATAAAAAGCGCTCAGTTGTTAAACACTTTCATGAGCTTAAAGTTTATTTCGGGTGGTTTTACAGTTAAGCTAAGTTGAAAGTTAATATTACGCTTTTAACATTAAAAGCTCTAAACTTTCAAACATTTTAATGAGTTTAAAACTTGTTTTAAGTATTTTTAGTGAAAGTGAAAGCTTAGTTTTCGCCGAAAGCTTTCGCCTAAAGCTGAACTTTCATTCATATAGTATTAAATCGCATGCAAAAAACTTACCCTTAACAGGCGTCACAGCGCCATACAAACGCCAATCATACTGATCGGGCAGATCATCTTTAAGCTTTGCAACATTGTATGGGAATGGCTTGCCTGTATTGTAAATACCAGACGATTTGTAGCCACGACGCGCACGCAATTCTTCCTCTGTCTTATCAGCTAAATGGTTGGCTGCCAGCGTGTAGCTCAAATGTGCACGATTTTTCGAATGTATGAAACGTAAATTTTGTCTATATATATTTTTGCGATATTCATGCTCCTTATCGGTCTTATATTTGATGCCATGCTTGGCTTTGAAATGATTGAACGAATGCTCAACATGTTCATCCTTAGCGGGATGCACGAATTCTTGCATTGGATTGAATGTTGCATAGTGACCAGCACCAGGTCCCGGGAAGGGTACACAAGGCATACCTATAAATTTAAAACAATTTGTAAATATAGAAACTTTTTTGAAAGGAAAATAATTGCAAACTCACTGTCATCCAATTCGAAGACCTCATTTGGTATATCATCATGTTCATAACTGTCATAATCCAAGAAGTAATGATCGAAATGTGAACCCAACAATGTGTTGTAACCACGCATCTCATAACGTACCGGTATCGGTTGACGTGCAGCTGGATAGTGTGGCGATTTCTTGTACCGTACCCAGAGTGTATACACATTACGTTTCTCACCGATCACCTCTTCAAGTCGGAACTTGTCACAAGTGAAACCGAGAAAGTTTTCAGTGCCCAAAAGCGTGAAGTTTTTAGCATCCGGTAGTATAGTTTGTATTTGTACGCGATTTTCAGTGGTGCCATTCAATTGCAAACACGTGACCTTATTCAATTCCTCATCGGTAGTAATGGGTGCTAATTTGAGTAAGGTGCCATAAGGCATAACGCTGGCCAATTGATAGGTCTTCACCATGCCGCCATAATAATCGATACGTGAACGTTTAGTGAGCTTGTCATACCAAGCGTAAAAGGGTTCTGCAATTTCGGCATACGGTATGTACAGTGTGCCCTTGGTAATGTAAGACTCATCCCATTTCGGCGGTTTGGTGGCAAATACTACGACAAAAGAAAGTTGTTACTCAATAGGTCAATGAATCAAACTGATATTTTGAGGTTGGGTATTTTTATTGTATGTTTTTTTCTAAGTCTACTGGTCCCAGCAGGATCCTGGAATTCATCAGAGTGCTGGGCCTTTGTGAGTCCTTGTGAAAGTGGAGAGGCCGCAATTGACCTTAAGACTGCAAGCTTCAATCTATTTCTATTCTAATTTAACGCCTACTAGCCTCTGACGGTAAATATATTAGTTGCTAATAAACTCTATCAGAAAAACCGCTTGCAACTCATAAGGATCAGTAATTTGATAACGGTTTCGCAATGGTAAATGAGATTGCGATTTGTCCCACCCTACAGTGCCAAATTATACTACGTTTTCTTAGTTCTAAAGACATCCGCTTAGCCTAATATATCTTCAGGCGATAGAGAATAATATCACAAAAAGTTTTGCAGCTTAGCTATCTCGTTCAAACTCAGTCCATAACAGTATGTTAGATCTTATTTCTCAATAGCGAAACGCTGATAGCTCCCAAATTTTTCTGATGGTTTATGGTAGATTATTTTGCTTTAAACTCTTCTTTGCGAATCTAAGACCATCATAGTCTCACTCTCATACTGGTCTCTGGCTTTTGCTACTAATTTCATCTTAACCCAAATCTATGTTAATCTAAAACCATCTGCTGTCTTTACGAGTACAATTTGTTGCAGCAATTTTTTAGTCGTTTCTTGCGCCTTCTCAGAGTTAGTTGTCCATCTAACTCGCCTTCAATTCGTTAACCACCTGCTATAATTGATTCCTCTATCTTGCCACTATCTCATTTTCCAAATTAATAGGCTTCTTTAGACATCCCCAATCCATAATACTATTTAAAAGCATGTTGATCTACATGATCGAAAGAATTAAATCGCAACAGATGCAGTTTCTCAAATACTCATGTCTCAGCGGAATCTCATCTGATAACCTCATTTAATCAAAATATGTAAGTACATACATACATATGTGTACCTTATCGAATACTAATTGACACACCTAATAAGCTGTGTAATCAAGCAATCAGAAGCCACTTATACTTGGCGAAACATTCTTGACACAATAACTATTGCCCCAGATATATTATAGACATATTTGCTAACTTAAGCTTCGATAGCAAGACAGATAAGACACGGATGCCCATATAATAAAATGTAAGATATAGTCGATATTACTAAATTTGAACTTAACGACTTAATGATATCAATTCCCACAAGGGTAGCACGATTAACGGGTTTTCGTAACGATAATATTGAGGTTTCTATACTGAAAATGCTATAATTAGTAATATAATCTGGAGATAAAGGGGCTTAGAGACACCTGCTGTGAAATAACCACGCTCACGATAAATTAATAAATAAGCATTAATTAAGTAACAGCTATCAAAAAGACTAACTACGAAAAGTGTACCGGCTCATTGAAATCCAAAACCATAGAAAATTTTGACTACAGATTAAAATAATACATAATTCTGCTTTTTTTAGACCGGGTGCTGATATGAGGTTTTATTCTTCAAGAAAGAGTGCAATCGATTTATGGATTCTGCTATCGCATACTAAAGCAACAGAACTTTTTCCGTTAACTCTATAAGGTAATAACTGCGATTTTACTAAGATATACTCTTTCTACCTACTGACATATTCAAAATGCGATCTCACTCGAATATCTCCACTTCTTACTTTTCTAAGTTGATTTATTTGGATACCATTTGGCGAACTTTGAGTTAATCATTTATTCAGCTGTTCAATTGAGTGCTCTTTGTTTTCCTTCGTAAATCTCAACAAATTGATATGCTCGGAACACAAAAAACATTTTTACACACACACATTTACACTTTTGTGAAAGCATTGCTTAGCGTAGTGAACAAAAAAACAAAAACAAACTCGATCTTTGAAATGGCGGCTTAAATGATATTCGTAAGAAAAAAATGCCGAAAACAAAAACAATAACAAAAGAACGGCAAATAAATCGGTGCAAAAAAGATCGGTAAAAAAAAGAAATTGTTCAAAAGGCAAGAACGTGCTTGGCAAACTAAAGCAGACGAAAGAACTTTCTAAAAAAACAGAAATATTAAAACCGGCGAATTGTGGCGCTGCTTAGAATAATATTGATATATTGTATATGTATATATTTATTAAAAATACAAAATTACTCGCCTTGAATACCCAATAACAATAATATTAAAAAAATATAATTGAATTTTTCTAGAAATCTAATTGACTGCACTTACCCTCCGCGCTGAAACCGCAAAGCGCCAACAGCAAAAACACAGCGAAATGCATACTGCGCTCGCTTGTAAACGAAACCGGACGGTTTTTACACAAACACAGAAGTTTCGCAGATGACTTTTATTGATATTTCACCGCGTAGATTTTTATTTTGCGATTAATCAATTCCAACTAAAATTATTATATATAATATATTATTTAACAACTGTTAGCAAATTAAATATATATATTTCTTCAGTCCACTATAAATGGCGTGTTCTATCGACCGCTGTGAGCGGACTACTAAGCGCTACGCTCAACTAAAGCGCCAATAAATGCGGCGACGGCCAACATAAGTCGTGTTGTTTTCATCGGGAAGCAACAAAAACTAGCTCGTGTGATTGTGTGCGAATATAGATTTGTTTGTGTGAGTATGTGGAGGGTCAAGCAGCAAGTAGGAAAAGCCAAGCTCGGTCGGAATCGCATTTTTTAAAACCAACGCGCGTCCATTTGTTGGATAAACTAAAGAGTAGACCAAATACTATAAGAGGAGAAACTCAGTCAAGCATCTAGCAAAGGTCTAAACTTCTGCTATATGCATAAGCATTATTCAAACCAACTGGACCAATATCAGTAAATTTTTTATAAACACTACCTGGATATCGAGCTTCGTTGAGCTGAAGCGGATTAAAAATCTTTTAATACTTAAAATACTTTTACATCCATTTTAAGCTCTTCAAAAATCCCAATAAGAAAATGAGTAAAGATCTAATGCGCATACATTCTCAGCTCGCTTAAAAGATACGAGAGGCCGAAAGACCAATTCTTAGTAAATTTACAGAAAGCAGATGTAGTGTGATTTATTCAAACCCAGTATACTCGAAATTTTTTCCTATTTGTGTTGTGTTGGTTCTACAACGTGTAGACTAACTTCCGAACTCTTCTATTCAGAGTCGTAGAGAGAAAACCGGTGCCCGGGGAGAATATAGGATGCGGACCCCTGATCAATCTCGTGTTGAAGAAAAAATTGGACATTGAGCAATTGCTCTCGATCTCTCTCGGTTATTGCTTCCATTAGATTACATTACATTTGAAATTATCTGCTAAAAGGCAACCAGTACTAGCAAAAAACGGAAGTTACAGCACAGCAAATGATTTCAGACTTGAATTTTTTCGAAGACTATTGCATGATTTCTCGGGTTATTTCTGTCACAGATAAAATATTAAACATAGCCGCATAAGCTACTACATATCACATGTATATACTTCAGATTTCATCGTGCGCAACATTTTAATAGTGATCCATGCTTTATGTCTACTCCCCGATATGCAATTTCCGATTAGATAAAAAAAATTATAAATCTTGTTTGTATGTATGTATGCATATCTCTTTGTGGACTTACTCAACACTATGCACAGTAACTTTATCAAATTGTTGTTCTACAGTATTAAACGATTATCGCTTTTTCAGTTAGGGTTACTGGACTTGACTATTCTGTTGCTTTCTATGTTGAAAGCAAATATTGTAGTTATTTACTTACAATATATATTTAGAATATAAAGACGAGCTAGCGATAAGGCGGACAGATGGCGAAAAGCCGGTAGCGGACATACAAACAACCACACAAACAAATACACGCAATAAACAAAAACAAACTGGGGGCATAAGCAACAATTACGAAAAGATTTACTGAAAGAGCGTGAGAGAGTAATTAAGATGAGCAATTTGCATATTATGAATAGAGCGCTTGGAGGCCGAAATGAGTAGAGAGCGCATTATTTACAGTGTGATTTTCTGTTTGAAATTAATAAATTATTTCTAGAAGTAATAAAACCGTTATTAGACATAATATTAATATTTATTTTAATTAAACAAATATTTAAATAACAAGTGAGTATTGACATTATACATATTTGCGCAAATCGTTAGACTAGACTACTGTTAAAATAATATTTGCAATATTACAATATTTATAAGTGGCTTAAATAAACATATGTATGTATATACACTAGTATGAAAATTCTTTATTATTTGATAAATATAATAAATGCTTTGGTTGTGTAATTTGTTCATAATTATGCTTACTTTAAACTGCTTTAATATAATTAGCACATACAATTTAAAATTTGATTTTTAAATATTAAATTTACTTATGAGAAAATTGTTAATTATTTAAATATTATATAAAGGTTTAATTAAAATTTAATTATATATCTTCATTATTTACAATATTTCATTTAATATAATTATATTTTAATAATATATATTTATATATATGGCTCTCATTTGCTCTAATATCACAAATTTTACTAAGACTAAGTACATTTTAATATTTTATTTATTAATTATAATTTAAAATAATATAAAATATTTTGAAGACATTTTAAATATACATATATAGCATGTATGAAAAACTCAAAAAAATAATTTTAACGTTGCTGAGATATTACCAGATCTGGACCTCTAAAAACTACAAAATAGTGTTATAATTTCCAAAATTCTCATATAATTCACTGTCAATAACAAAAAGGCTCCAAAATTAATGTAAGCGTGAAGCGAAATCACGAAGCCGAATTTAAGTAAATTGTTTTATAGACGTCATAAAAATAAAAATAAAAATTCCATGTGTTTTATTAAAAATATATAAAATCTCTCACTAAGCGCTTGAAAAATCATGTGACAGCAGATATTATAAATCTCAATAGCTCTGCTTTCTAGATTATGCACCTTATTTCGCTTATTTGATATTGGACTAAATAATATATTTTTTACTATTTATATCTGGACCTCAGACTATACAGGTGTAATTTTTTCGTAAAACAAATAGGACATTAAGGCACATTTTTGAAACACAAGCTTATTTGTGAAACCTTAAATTTATATGAATGTTGGAAATAATGTCGTTTTTTGGAAACTAACAAACTTCCGAAGTAATAACATATATGTATATTTTAATTAATTGTACTGAAATTGTATAATTTTTTATTAATTTTAAGAAAAAATATTCATTTTCGTTCGTACTCTTTTAATAATTTTTTTTTTTTTGATTATATGAAAAATATGGTAATAACTATTATTTTAAAGTTAAAGCCTTTAGATATATATATATATTTTATAATAATTTTGTATTTTATGGCGTCTCATTGTATTCCCTCCGTAGTTTGATTTTATTTATTAATTAAAAACTAATTTATTTCATTTTATATATTATTTCATTTAATTACCTTAATTTATTAATTTTTTTTAAATTTAATTATTTTTATTTATTTAAATTTTAAATTTAACAATTTGTATTTTAAATTTATTTATTATTTTACAGTTCAAACTTTTAAATTATTTTTTTAAATTAAGTTTTTTAATTTATTAGGTCACTGTTTAATCTACTCCGTTATTAGATTTAAATAATTAATTAAAAGGTAATTATTAACTTTTTTATATATTTTTAATTTTATTTTATTAAATTTATTTATTGTTTTAATTAAATTTTTTTTTTAATTTCAGTTAATATTTAATAATTAAAACTTTTATATTATTTAATTTTTTTAACTTAATTATAGTATATTTATTATATATTTTTTAATTTAATTATAGTATATTTATCTGTCTTTTTTATTCTACCCTGTAGTTTATTTTCATTCATTTATAAAAAAATAATTAATATTTTTTATATATTTTTCAGTTTATTTTATCAAATTTATTTGTTTACGTTTTTCTTGTTTAATTAGATATTATCTTTTCTTTTTGATTTTATGTTATAATCTTGTTATGACATTTATGCTGTTATTGATATATACGTATAGATTTATTTTTGTTAATAAATTATTATTTTGTTGCGTTTTTTAATAAATCAAAAATACCAATTTATTTTTATTTTTTTATATATGACACAAGCTTTTTTTTCATTTTAATTTGAATTGTATTTAATAATTTTTATTTTAAAGTCTTAGTTTTATTATACAATTGTATTTTTTGGTTTTAGTGTTATTTATTAATAAATAAAAAAATTTGTTCATCAAAATTGATTTTATTATTGATTTTTTTATTAAATAATTTTATAAATCTTTTCAACGAAATTTATTTTATATTCTTTTGCCAAATTATTATATAATATATATAATATTTTTTTATTATCATATTCATTAAAAATGTATAATTATATTTTGCTTGTTATATTTTATTTTGTTTTTAGTACTGCTATTTATTTAATGGTAATACCATTATTATATTTTTAATAATTTTTTCATCAGTTTTTTTTTTTAATTTTATAACTTTTTTATTTTTATATATTTTTTCATTGCATTTTGTTTCATTCTCATTTGTCAAATTAAGTTTTTTAGAATTTATTTTAAATTACTTTTTATATTTTTTCCTGTCATATTTACGAGAAATGTATTACATGTATTTATTTTGTTTGTTATATTTTTAATTTTTATTACATGAATAGATCAATCTTTTAATGAATATCTTTTAATTTTAATTTTTATTCTTTGCGTCTTATTTTTATTTCTTCAGTTTATTTAATTTAAATTAATTTATCTTCACTTCATAGGAATTATTTTATTTTATTTATGTTTGAATTTATTTTTAATTCTTCTTCTTTCATTTAATATTTTGGTTTATAACTGTATATTAATTAACATCTAATATTTAAGCGTAAAGTTTAAAATTTAGATGTCTTTTTTCATTTATGGCACAGTGACCACGAAAAGTAATGCAAATAAAAAAAAAGTGACTTACCAAACAATAAGTCGGTTATAAGATCTAAACCGCATATGTATGTATGCACGTTTCTACATCTATATTAAAAATCGCGAGAGACAGCTTTAACAACACTTTTCGAAAGTATTTTTCTAACACAAAAGTATTTTCATAACATACACTACAATTTAATTTTCAGCCAAAGTGCAATTCTAATATTTTTCTTAGACTATAACGATACACATAAATAAATTACTACTAAGCATTTACATTTTGGCTTATTATTGCTTAACACATGCGAAAAAAACTAACATTAGCTAACTACTAAATTGGCACTAAGAATTCACTCAGCAGATTTACAAAAACATTTTTTCACCTTCCACTTAACCCACAGCAAATAACAACTTAAATGCTATAACTATAAAACGCGCCTACTCTGCAGTGTCCACACTGTCAGCGAAGCAATAATTGCTAAACTAGGCATAAGCAGTAAGCGTCCACCACCGCCATCTGTGCTCGGTTCCACCAGATGCGAAACGATCAAACCGGAGAGTAGCAAATTCGTCGTGATCTCATGCGATTGTGATTCGATCATCAACGAGATGCGTTCGGCTTCACGCGCGCACGCTTCGACTTGCATGCGCATCGGTGTGGTGGCGCGCGGCACGAGCGCTACAAATATACCCACCTCCATAGTGAGAAAGCCCGTCAGCTGGCATTCGGAGAACTGCACAAGCGCATCCAATGCTTGCAACACGCTATGCAATGTTAGCAGATCCTTATTCTGAGCGCGCACCGCATATAACGCGCGATCGATCTGCTTGCGTGAGTAGACAATACGGAAAGCGCCCGCACAAATGGCGCAACAGGCGCCGGGTGGCACAACACGCCGGCAATGTGGGGATTGCAGATGTGGACATCGAACGCTGTTGCAACGTGGTCCCATATCAGCGACAAGCAGACCAACTTGACGGCAACGACCACGATAATCGATAACAATGTAATCGGCCCAAGCGGCGCACTCGTGTGTATATGTAACGCCATTGATGCCGCATACCGGTCCCTGCATGGAACAGCTGCGAAAGCAAGCGCCCCAGTGCGCCAGCGTTGCATGCGCCGTAAGTAAATCGCAGGCGCTATCATGTGTGCGGCGCTGCTTATCGCATACCGGACGCGGTTCGGCGGACGCGCAGCCGGCAGTGACATTGACTGTAAAGAAACGGGGGGCGGTGTGTTGAACTTGGTTAATTTGCAGTAGAATTTGCGTTTTTACTCACCACACTGGTACTGCAGACAGGGACGATGCATCGATGATAAGCAGATTTTCCGTTGCTCTAAGCACTGATGACCAGCTGGACAGCTGAATGCACCTTCCAGACATGGATTTAATGTGGCGCAAGCGCCATACTGTATCTCATTGTCCTGCATGCCGAGACATTTGGCAATACAGGCGGAGTGATAGGTATTGCCGTTACTGCCACAAACGGGCACAAAATGTGTCGGACAATTACAGGGCAGACTGGTGTACGATGGATCCAAATAACCTGCGAGGGAAAAACGCGTACAAACGTGGAATATGAAAGAGAGCAGTGAATGTATACTTTAATTCCGATTTATACAATGTACTCACTTGCTAAACGACACTGCTTCTTGGTGCAAGTAATCTCACCGGCGAAGCAGCTACACAAGTTACACTCCAAATAAAAGGATTTGCCGTGCTCATAGCTACGACCACCTGGCAGCAGGCACCGCGCATAAGTGAAACTCGGCAAGGGTTGACAGTGTTCGATGCGTTCCTGCGCACCACAGCGACACACCTTAAAAGCGCCCGTAGCAGCATCGCCAACAATCTTAGCCGGCTTTTCCGCTTGCAACACCGGTATACGCACATAAGCGCCAAATGGCACCAAATAGTTAGACGCCTCACCGAGTCTACAACCAGGTACACACTCATACGTGTTGCTCTCATTGCGGCGTGCTAAACAAGCCGCACTGGCGTTACATGGATGTCCTTTACAAGGCGCCGTTAAGCCATGATAGCCACCAGTTTCCTTCGGTACATCACTTTCTTCACGATACGGACGCAACGAGACGCAAGGCACATCTTCGTTTGGTGATAGGCGCGCACACACCGAATCAGCATTGAGCGCCAAGCGCATGCGCGTCCAATCCATGCACTCGCTCAAAATCTCATAGCAATCCTCTCTGCAAATATGATTGTAGTGACGATCACGCGTGCAGGGCTTAATTTGCAAGGCGCAAGCGATGGCCTTCCACTGTTCCGGTGCACAACGTGTCATATTCTTAATAGGCAGCTCCAAGCCATCCAAGATGACAGAGCCATTTTGTTGCCACATTTTCAAATCCGAACGCGCAGCCAAATCCGCAGCGGCATTACAACTGCGAAACAGTTCTGTGGGACGATTATTGAAATTGGTGCAGAAACTCAGACCATCACAGCCCAGTTCGCAGGGTTCGTCCACTTCGTCCATGCACTGTCGTAGCTTCAGTTCATTGCGGTCCAGCAGGCACGACTCCTCGAAATACGCGCGCGTTGCAGTCCAATCATTCGAGTAAGTCTGCATGCAAAGACGCCGACATTTGGGAAATTTCGCCTTCTCACAGCAATGCAGCTTGGCCGAATCAATGCCAATCTGATTGATCTGTGACAATTCGTTTGTGCTCTTCGTAGCCGGCACGAATATAGTGCGTTCGGCTGTCAAGAAACACTGCCATAACGGTATGTGTGGCAGCAATATGCCACAACCACTAACCTCCAATTCGCCGATGACGATATCAATGCTTTCGGTGCTATTCAACACCGATCGGCAGGCGCTACGACAGCTATCCACTTTGGAGAACTCACAGCAAGGTAAATCTGTAAATTAAATATTATTTATTTATAGTCACACACAAATTAGTGTAGGGTCACATTTTTCAATTAACCCTGTCAGCGGCGCAAGTGTATTGAAGTCTACTCAACTTACATTTGTGGGAGTTTGTCACCGGCGTCATGCCTGTTATGTTGTTGATACATTGCAGCACGTCAGCATCGCGTTTCTCGTGGCACAGCTCGTGCAAACGATGGTGCTTGTTGCGCCGGTATGTCTTCTGCGATTCAAAGACATCGCGGCAGGCCTACAATAACAAAATTTCAAAGATTTTAATTGTATGCTTTTACAGAGGAGTCGTAGAGGTTAGGTTAAGCGTTGCATTGGCTCGCGGCTACCAAACCAGTCGATCAAGTTATACATCAATTAATAGCTTCTTTTTTATATGTTGTGTAGTCTACAACTGCACAAGATATATGAACATACAAACAAATCTATATGCACTGTGGAAATATCGCTAACAGTTACATTTACTGAGAACTCTCCTAAAATTATTGATTAGCGCCATTTAAAATAGACTTACCGTCTTGGTGTTGGTGTTGTTGTACCTACGCCAAGGAAAATGTATGCAGCTTAGATGATAGTTCTTGAAATTATATAAAATCTATACCGATCCGATCGATGGACTTCACAGTCCAGGAAGAGAGACAGAGAGTTCAGTGTTTTGTGTTTTACTATCTATTTCTAAGTCAGTTGAGAATTGTGAATTTTATACACTTATTGAATGAAATAATAAGCAAAATTGTGACATTGCAATTTTTGTTAAGTTTTCCAGATGCTTTTTTCAATCAACTCAGAATGTCAAATATGTATAAAACTAGAAGTATGTGTTTATGGTGTTTATTTAACCTAAAAATTATCCACTTGACTTTGTGGACCAAAATCGCAATAAAATCATCCAATCATAATACTTAATTAGCTTTCCAATTGCTTAACATTCCACTCATACTCATTGTTTTCCCCGTTATCTTCGTTCGCACACACCCACCTGTAAGCACTCCGATGTGCGCGCCGTACTACAGCAACGATCGCCGGTCTCCTGATGTTCAAAACAAGCGAACATGTGTTGCTCATCACTTTTGCGGCACGCGCTGATTAGTTGTGGTTCCGTTGTGGACTCTGATGTGGCGCAGGCATTGCGGCAGCGTGGTGACAAGCCCAAGGCGCAACAACGTCGACCCGACCACTCAGCGCCACGTGCAACGGCTGAAAAAAATTAAAAAAACAAAAGCAGAAAATAAAATAAAGTGATGCAACCGCAAGATAATAAACATGAAGCATAGTAATACTAAGTACCACATGCTATAAACATATGTATTAATTAAGAGCTAAGCAAGTTTATTGAAGTTGAAAATGTGTGGCAACGTATAAATGTACGAGATTGCGTTTAATTTGTTTCAGGTTGTGCTTCGGTGATTTAAAATCTATATTTTTTTTTGTTGGTATACCTATATGCATATCTTAAAAGATGCATGTAAGATACCATTCTAAACTAGCGAAGCTTACTAACTTTTTAATATCCAACTTTATATAGAAAGCATTTCGAAAATCCTTACACTTGCCTATATTAATTCATGTGGTATTGGCATTTTCTTGTCGAACGTCGTAATTGAAAATAAAATCCTTTCGTGTGCGCAAATTTCAATTTCCTTGTGCCATTGTGCTAAAACTACATACCTCAAACGCTAGAAAATGATTGACTTTTCTACAAAGTAGTTAAAACTTTACTTAAATTATCAAACCCAAATAGTAGAGGAGTTAGTAAAATCTGAAGGTTGGGTCTGATTACTTTAAGAGTATATTGATGGAAAATCAATATTTCGAAAACATTCAGGGTTGCTAAATTTATTGCATCGTCATATTCGTGATATGGAAAACCAATATCTCGAAGAAGATTCAGGGTCGCTATATATGTATGTACATTGAATTGACGCATCCGTGATACGAATCGATTTTAAAGGGTTTTCACCGACGAAAAATATACATACATACTTTTTTCTCAAAAATCAGTTTTTAGCGTGGCTGAAGAAATTTCGCCAAAACAGTTGGACGGACTCGACTTGGAATTTCTACACGACCTTGATTTGTCAGGTAATGATGCTTGCAGAAATATTTTTGACGATAATTTCGATTTTTAAGTCACTTTGAAAAGTAAATTTTTTTTTGTCTGGCCACTTGATCAAAAATCAAAATTTTGACAAATTTGATCTTTTGATCATTACCTGTATTTTTATAATAATAATAACCTTTTTTTTGGATTTGAGTTAATTTTAAGTTGGAAAATCTTCCTCACCGCCGGACATCTTTTTTCCGAGGTCCTACTGGAGATCGAATACGGGAACAAGAGAATCAACATTTTTTAAAAAGTAATCGCGGAAAATATATGAAATACTGTGAATGTATATTAATTTCATTTATTTATTAAACAAAATGCTTCCTCCAAAAACAAAAATGCACAAAAACCGCTCTTTTTCTAAATTGCTATCAATTTCTAACCTTATATAGGCCTTATACATAGATCTCCATTAGCAGTGGTACTTTAATTAAGTGATGATTTTTAGTCATTAATGTTAAAGAAATATTTTGAGGATAGATGCCTCGGTACATATGCATTTAAAAGAAGTGTTAGAAAGTGATGGAACTTCGGAAAATATGCACCATATTATTGTGATGCCTAATATCTGCTATTTCGTGTTAGTATCTTATTAAAGAGATTATCGCCTAAACTTTTTTTATTTCTGGCTTTTTAGAGTTCATCAAACTGATCAGTTTAAATCTAAAATTACTAATTCAATAAACTTGGAGATTTTGGAATAAATTGAATATTCGAAATGAAAAATTTCAGCAACGCGAATCTGAATAACTATATGTTTCCTTTACAATCACATGATATTTCTTTAATTGAAATGTTGTACAGCAGATGAAATAAAAGAGTAGCAACTTTTCTGCAACTATTTTATCAAGGTCATTGCAATATTTTATTGCCTTTTTACCACATTCAACGATTTTTTGTTTTAAATAAGGCTGTAAATCAGTCACATTTCCTCTCATTCACTCAATCACTGCTACGAATACACAAACAAATCTTACCTTCTAATGTGAGATTCATGCAACTCCAAAAGCTGGTTTGCATTGAGGGACAATATTTCTTCAACTCCAAGCGCAGGCTACGACCATTCGCATTGTCTGTGGAGGCCAATTGCACCAGAGAAAGCTGTAAGAGACAACACAGAAAATAATACGTAAATATATTTGTATTTTGCAGCTTAAATTGCTTTTCTCTAAAATTCAATTTAAACAAATTCACACATGTGACAGGCGCCAAAGCTATGCGTACGAGTCTATTCACGAAAATGTGCAATAAAATACATACATACTTGTATATAAGCACATACATACATATATTAAAAAATATATACATACAAGTTTAGGCGAAAATTGATTAATGTGCAACGTTAGGCAAGTAAAGTGGAGCATTTGCGCAAAACAAAATAACGGTGTTGAGATAAATTTTGTCAAATCGTGATACTTCGGCATGTCCGTACCGCATAATTTATAGCTGCTGATAGTGATTTAAGCGCATGCGTATCAGCTGACCACTGCCGCAATTGGAGTAATAAAATTTCAATATGTGAGCTGAAGTGTATTCAAGAAAAAAAATGCTAAGCAATTTTTGTAATCGCTCAGAGTACAGCGAGTTTTTACGCATTCTTTTAACTTTAAATAGATATTAACAAGGCGACCGAAGCTTTAGTTTGCTGGCATTACCAAACTTAAAGCAAATAAAAATGTTTCTTCCTTTCCAAACCCGTGAACATAAAGAAGGATTTAACACTCTTTTCATTGACACCAGAATATACGCCTACCCTAGGGAAGATGACTATCTCTAAACTAACAAAATCCAGACTTTATAATAACTTTCAGATATCTCTTGGTTGGCTGAATGATTTATAGATTGTTTCTTGAACTTAACCAAAATTCTTTGAACGGACCAAAGTAGTCATAAAATTTGGTTAGGATGGAAGTATGACTAAAGAGCGACTGTGAGAGCCTTTCTACTTTACTCTTTAAAATGTAAAATGTCTGTATGTACGCGAACTAGTTCGTCAGTTTTTGAGAAATCGATTTGAAATTTTGTACACGAAAATAATGTTCAGTTCGGACCACTCTAGTATATAGCAGCCTTACAAACTGAACGATTTAAAGCAGATTTTTGTATGGAAACTTTTTTATTTGTGAAGGGTATTAAGGGAAGGTATAATGGTCTAGAGGTGCCTTGTTGTACCAGGATTGTATATGTCTAACCTCTACAATAACCCTCGAACAAATTCTACGCACTCAGTTTCTTTTGAAAATGCCTATAATAGATCTCTTTAGAGTGTATGCAAATCCTTTACTGCTAGTATGTTAGTATTTTCAAACCTCAATGCTTGAGTTAAAACCACAATTTTCACATTAATTTGCTACATTAGAAATATATTTTAACTTGTAGGCGAACAATGTGCACAATCGCTGTCCGACAAGTCGTTGAGCGATAATTCGAAATTATTCAAATATTTTATAAAATTAAATACATAGTTTTATTGCTAAAAATATTATCTATGTATATACCAAGACTTGTTTAAAGTAAAAATGCTTGTCAGTTGCTTATTTATCTGCTCATTACACGGAGTTCGACCAAGTCATTGCGATGGCGACTTTTGCCGTAAGTCATAAATAAAACAGCTAATCGATTTCCATGCCATATAGATATATGTAGGTTTGTGCACTTAGTTACATATTTTATGTTCATGTATAATATTAATTACCAGCCTTAAGTGGGGCAACTCGAACTGGAGCTGAGAGTTCACCTTAAAGTGTGTGCCACCTGCAGCCGTTCCGATTGCTTATGCCTTGGCGACTACCTATAACAACAACACTGTGTAACATTGCAATAATTTATAATTTTATTTAAAATAATTTTATTTATTTTCTTTTCTTGTTATTTTAGCATACGACCAACGGCCGACATGCTAAAGCGGCATTCAAGCCAATTCCGGTAGTTGAGACCGGGCTATTGGCAAACATATGCGCGCACTGCAGTTAAGATTTAAATAAAAACTTATTTTTAGTGCTCGGTTTATGCATGGCGAATAACAAAAATAAAAATTATAAAAAATGCATTATTCAAAGGCATTAGTCGTTAGAGCACTCCATATATGGATAAGTTATTCCAACTTGAACTACCAAAATTTACGGAATAAATTACAAACAAAATAGTGTTTTTGAAAATATTTGGTATATTGTATTTTTCGATTCGAATTACATTTTGTTATATTGTTGTAAGAAAAAAGTAATAAAACTTCAGATCTCCTCGCCTTGACGCGAGTTAACGTACGCTCCGCTTTTGGTTTTTATCAAGAGCTGTAAAGAGACATCGATTTTACTTCATTCCATTCTAAAAAGACCATTTCGTAGCCTTCTTATCGAATCGATTCGGTAGACCTAACCGATGCTTTGAGCTAAATCAAACGCTCTATCCGTACAACATGTCAATTCTGTGCATCCTAATTTTTGGCTTACTTTCAGCAAATGTTATACCAAAACCTCATATATTTTTTTATGGGCTACTGCTATACATTACATTTGTAGGCTCCGAGCTTGTAGGCACGGAAAATTATATATTAGTTATACTGATTAACATGCTATATATTATATAAATATTTTTTATAGCGGCCAACCGTTTGACTATTTCGAAGTTCAATCTTCAACAGTTTGCAATGTTTTCAGCGAGGCCTTTCCAACAATCTATTTTCTTACCGATAAGAATTAAATTTTTCTTTAAACCCTACATAAAATGGGTAATCTAGTAATATTTCTTAACGTTATGAAAATTGAAGGTAATTCACTCTAGTCAAATCTTATACTTATACGCGCGCTCTTTGACCCGCTTTGAGCAAAGTACGAGCAAAATGAGGTAATCAACATGTGAGCAAGGCTGAATACACTCAAGTTTGTTCAAGAGAAAATACAATTGCAAATGGGACACACTTTACAAAACTACTCTAGCGATAACCCCCGTGGTCTGCGGCGTTTTTGTGTGCTGATAATAAGAATAATCAAAATTATTAACAGTAGTGAATAAAAGTGGAACAAACAGTAGGACTAAAAGTTGTCAAACACAATTTTAGTTCGTTTGTTGACACATTAAAAATCAGAATCGTTTATTATTCAAACCGCATATGAGTTCGAAATTTCGTAGTACTGGCTATAATCTATTTCAATTATAGGCATTTAACCAGACGCTTGTAACAACATCAATTTTAAACGTTGTTTCGAGCCAAATAGAGAACCTAGTCAACCGGAAGTGTCAGCGACTCACGTCTGCGTACAAATGTCACGTCTCAACGAAGAATATGTGAGAGCGAACAGTTATGACAATAAAATCGGTAAACAATAGTGTATATGATGCATTTCAGGCAAATTAAAAGTAATGCTAAAATTATTGGAAAACTATTAAAAAAAAGTATTTATATACAAATAATTGTGCCTTCTCGCATTTTAAGTATTGTGCTTCGTTAAAAATATGAAAAATTATGCAACAGCAATATTGAAAAGTTACAAACAGCTGCCACCAAAATATGTGGCTGAATTAAAGACGCTTCCAAATATTGTGAAGCAGAGTTACCGATCTGAAATTTCATTGAAAATCCAGTAAGCGTGTTTTCAAAATCTGCTACAGTGGTTACAAATATTTTCGGACTAAAAATTTTTATAAGGCTTAGTCTTGCTTTTGAAAAATACTTACATAGCCTAATCGCAATTAGTTTGTGTCGTCCTTTTCGGAAATGTACCGAAACTTGAAAGATAACATTGTAATTTCTAAATTTTTTATAACTTTTCTACGATTAAATTCAGAATATATTTAAATTTTAAATAACACAGTATTACTTTGAACTTAAGAATGTTTTTACTACAAAGGTTGGAACAATATTATTAATATTAATTACAAACCATTGTAGTTAAAAATATTGAACCAAACAACAAAACTGTTTATCACGAAAAAATACCAACAAATGTTAATTCAACTCTACCAAATTGGCAACCCCACTGCCATTACGCATACATTATTAAAATATATAATAATTTAATTTCTTCGTTGGAGCATATGTATAACTTGGTTTATTTAATGAATGCTACTACTTTATTCTAATTATAAATGCAAGACACGCTTATTTGTTGTACAAATAACAGCGAAATAAATGAAGAACCAATCTTAAAATTAGCCACAACAAACATGGGCATTATGATTAAGTAGCCAGTCAACTTTTGTAGTGCCTTCAAACTATCGCTAGAAGGAGTGGTCAATGAGTGGCTGGCGGAAATGCCGAATTCCAAGAAGTTACAACAGGTTATGAATTTCAAATACATCACGTTTCTTTTAAGGAATTTGAGGAAGATATGTTACAGAATATGAAAAGACGCATGTTTGTTTCTAATTAATGACTTTACTAAATAGCGAACACAAGCAAAGACAAGGCAAACAAGTAAGAAAGTGATAAGTTCGGGTGTAACCGAACATTTTATACTCTTGCCACTTGCAAGGATCAAAGCAGCGGTGTCATTATTTTATATATTATGGTCCGATTTGGATAATATATTCGTAGATTTTAGTGTTGCCTTGGACAATAAACCAAATCAAATAAAAAAGTACATACAAGGACTTTGTTTAAACTACCAAACTAACTAATTAAGCCCTTTGTTTACATAATGAAGTCAATGACCTTTTTGTTTACATTTTAGCCAAGTCCCAAACCATTGTTTACATTTAGCCAAGTCAACAACCTATGTTTGACCCTTTTGTTTACATTATGAGGTCAATGAACCCTTTGTTTACATTTTATGAGGTTAATGACCCTTTTGTTTGCATTTAGCCAAGTCCCCAACCTTTGTTTACATTTAGTCAAGTCCACAACCTTTGCTTAAATTTAACCAAGTCAACAACCTTTGGTTATTTTAGCCAAGTCCTGCCAGTCCGGTGAAGTCACCTCGTGATTTCTAAATCACATCACATCGATGGGCGAGAGTCACCTAAGCACCTGTAATGCACGGTGCCTACTTTACTTATATAGAGCCAGCTGGTAGCCAGCTTCCACTGAAGTCACCTTATGACTTCCAAATCACATCACATCGAGTCACTTGAGTCACCTAAGCACCTGTCATGCACGGTGCCTA